CCTACCACAGAGACATTTGCTTAGTCATGTTCATTGCTGCTCCATTCATTATAATCAGAATTTGGGAGCAGACTAGATTTTTTTTTAACAGAATAATAGATAAAGAAATGCGGTACACTTATACAATCGAGTATTATCCAGCCATTAAAAAAATGAAATCATGAACTTTACAGGTTGTGGTGGTTTGAAAATGGCCCCCAAAGGAAATGGCACTTATTAAGAGGTGTGGTTTTGTTGGAGTGGGTGTCGGCTCATTGGAGGAAGTGTGTCACTGTGGAGGTAGTCTTTAAGGTCTCATATATATGTAAGCCACACCCAGTGTCTCAGTTTACTTGCTGTTGCCGGCAAGATGTAGAACTCCCAGCAACCTCTCTGGCACCATGTCTGTCTGCACACCACCATGACCCACCATGATGATAATGGACTAAGCTTCTGAAAATGCAATAAATGTTTTTCCTCTATAAGAGTTGCTGTAATCACTGTCTTTTCACAGTAATAGAATCCCAAACTAAGACATAGGTGAATGGATGGAACCACAAAAAAATAAATACATAAATAAAAATCATCCTGCATGAGGTCACACACACATGCACACAATTTAGTGATTTAAATGAAATCACTAAAGAGCCCCAGCTGGACACACCTTGTCACCAAGTGAAGTTTTTGGAACCAGAAATATGTTGAATATAATTAAGTTGTTAGTCAAAGGAGTCCCATGAGAACCCCAAACAACTTAGAATGTTGCCAAGGCTATAGTTGCTCTCCAAAAGCTGACATTAAGGCCATACTGCTGAAGACAACACCTACACAACTCATTGACCATGAAGTTGAGCTGATACCTACACAGAGCCTTCATCCCTACATGCTAGTCTTTCTTACTGGAAGATATTCTGCACACTAACAAAGGAGAAACAAATAGCAACCCAGCTACAAACTCTTCGCTCTACAGTAGGGTTCTGCCCTCAAGATAAGCTAGTGCAATGATGACATAAAGCTTGTGAGAAAAACCAACCAACATTTGATTGACTTACAGCCCACTGCACAACATGGAATTCATACCCAGCACTTTGATAACTGGATTTCAGACTAGATAGCCCATTGACTTTAGGAGCCTACAAAAATTCCAACTTGTAATTTGTCTCAAGGTCAGAGAGTCAAAGTTTATGATGCTCTTCAAGGCTGTATAATAGGGTGTAAAGGCAGGGTTACCAAGTGTCTTATACTTGGTATAAGACCTAATCACAAGATGCTTTGCCTGGGGTGTGGTTACCCAGGTGTTTTGAAGGATCTATACTTGGTTGTACATTGTGCTTTGATCTTGAAAGGGGGAGGTCTTTTGCCTCTGTCCTTGCTAGTGTATAAAAAAGCCCATTATAAATAAGCTCAAGGATGTTGGGTATTGACTCAGGACCCTCCCGAAGCTATCCTGTATCTCAGTCTTTTTCTACACCTATATTTCTTACTATTACTTCTCCATTCCTCAATCCCCCTTCAAGGGACCTTTTGACAGGTTGGGTCTGGACTCCACCACTGAACCCTGACAAGGGACTTAGGGAAAAACCAAATGCTACTGTTCTACTAAAAGAACGTACCAATGAAATGATTCCTAATGAGATTTTCCTATGCTCTTAGATTAATGCCTTGTTCAACCATTATCAGAGAAGCTTCATCCTGCAACACTTGGGAACAAATACTCACAACTGGACAATATGGAGAAGAGTGTGAGACTTTGGAATGCTGACCCCTAGAAGGATGCTTCCATCAAATCCCACTCCTCAGAGATCAAGAGGAGGCAGAAAGTTTAAGAGCCAGAGGGGATAGAGGATAGCAAGGAAACAAAGCCCTCTACATCAGCATCCATGATGATATGAACTCACAGAGACTGAGATACCATGCACAGGGTCTGCAAGGGTCTGCACCCGATGATCTAGAGAGCCAGTTTATGTTGCTCTCCAAGGTACATAACAGGGTGCAAAGGCATGGTTACCTGAAAGTAGTGGACATGTGCCCCAATCCCTAACCCAGTCTATCTCCAATTGATAAGCACTTGCAAAGGGAAATTCATTTTTTTCCATTTTCTGAGGTAGTCTCACTGGGGAAATGAACTACTCTTAGGGTAAGTTGCATGCTCAGCAGTAGATAGCCAACAGAAAACCAACTAAATAGCAACTTTGCATAGTTTAATGTTAGGTTTTTTTTTTTTTTTTTTAAGAAAAATTACTTTAGCCGGGCGGTGGTGGCGCACGCCTTTAATCCCAGCACTTGGGAGGCAGAGGCAGGCGGATCTCTGTGAGTTCGAGGCCAGACTGGTTTCCAAAGCGAGTTCCAGGACAGGCTCCAAAACTACAAAGAGAAACCCTGTCTCGAAAAAAAAAAAAAAAAAAAAAAAAAAGAAAAATTACTTTATAGTGTATGTGTGTGTGTGTGTGTGTGTGTGTGTGTGTTTCCTTTCTTTTTATCCCACAGGTCCATTTCATATATATTATGGCTTCCAGTTTAGTATTTTTGTGGGATTCCTTAGTGTGTGACTGATGGATCTCTGCATCTGCATCTGTTTTTTGGCTTTTTTCTTGTTCTATTGTTTCTGCTTATTTGGTGTGTTAGCTTTTGTTTTATCTTATTTCATTATTAGCTCTTAGAAGCCTGTTTAGATTTTCTAATGAAAATCTTAATGGAAGGAGATGTGGGGAAGACCTGGGACTATTAGAGGGAGGGTAACTGTAATCAAGATATATTATATGAGAAAAAAATTCTACGTTCAATAAAAGGAATCAAAATACTTATCATATTCCTACTTTTAAAACAATTGCTCACAGTTATATTTTTGTGAAAAATTCTTTTCAAAATATTACTGAATTCTTTTTCATTTTGCACATATCACATAAGGAACTGCACTCGCTCTAATTATCTAATAAATGTGAAAACAAATCTTTACAGCTTATTATCTCAATTTAAGATTTAAGTTTTGCTCTTTTCTTTTAATACTCTAGCTAATTTGATCTCTCTCTCCCCTTTCTCTGTCTCCTCCCCCTCTACTCTCCCCCTCCCTTTTCTCTCCCATCCCTTTCCTCCTCTCTCCCTCCCCCTCTCCCCCTCCCTATCTCTCTTCTCCCCTCTCCTCCTCTCTTCCCATCTCCCCTCCCCATTTCTCCTCCTCTCCCCTCCCTCTCTTTTTTCTCTCCCTCTCCCCCTGCCTCTCCTCTCCCTCTCCTATCTCCCCTCTCCCCCTCTCTCCTTCTCCTCCTTTCTCCCTCCCCCTCACTTCCCCCCTCCCCTTCCCCTCTCTTCCTCCCCCTCTCTCTTCTCCCCTTCCCCTCTCTTCCTCCCCCTCTCTCCTCCCCTCTCTTCTTCCTTTCTCCCTCCCCCTCTCCCCTCTCTCCCTCTCCCCCTCCATCCTTCCTTTCCACCTCTCTCACCCATCTCTGTTTATCTCTTCCCTCCTCTCCTCTTCCACAGTGTGATGATGAATCAAAAGTATTGAATGCCCTCTTCTCTTTGCCACCAGGTAAGCTGAATACGCAGGACGGTGGCCATGTGTCTAACACTTTCATGAACGTGCAGCTACAAACACATTATGTGCTGTGTGAGTGTGAAAACATGTGGATCACATGGGAAATATTTGTCACAACACTTTCAATCAACATACACCTCTTCACATCTGGAAGAGCTGAAGATTATTCAGCCAGTTCAATGTCTGTGTAAATGAAGAGGTATAACTCATCAAAACTATACTGACAGATCTCTGTGAAGCTACATTTATTTTAGAAATCCCAACTACTTTAATTATGTTTCTTATCAGGCAGAAACATGACATTACATTGAAATGCCTATGTCAAAGGGTAATAAAATATTTCATTGGTGAACATAATTAATAACATATAGTAATATTAAGCTTTAATGATATTATAATATCATTTAAATAATTATATATTTTAGAGTTCTAAATATACCCATCCCTGTGGAAAGAGCCTGAAGTTTTAATTCTCCTCACAGTCATGATGAGATGTTCTGCTTTTCCTCTAACCAAGTACCAAAAGTCAACCTTCCGGGAATAATGCCCTCTCTTCCATAAGGCTCAATACCTTACATTTCTCTGAGTATTAGTTGCACATTAAAGCTCATACATCAAACATTTGTCCTTTATTCCTTCCGTTCATGTGATCTACTAGCTGTCCTGTGTCATTTCCTGTTCTGCAGATCTGTCTTGAATGATGTTTAGAGACACCATCCAGCAACCTGTAGTTCTTTCCTTTTGTCCCTTCAACACAAATCAGATACAGTTATTCCCTTGTCAAGCCACAGGACTTTAAACTCCAATTTCTCTACAAAAGCTGAATATCTAATTTAGAACAATATTTTAGGATGAAATAAGATAACTGTCCAGCACAATTCCAGGCATATTAAGAAGTCAACAAATGGTGCAAAGAATTTCTCATGTTGCATACTTTCTGTGATTTCTCCTTACACACGCAGAACACTGAGTTGTTAACAGCAGTGAACCAGTGATGAAGCTCTTACAGAGACACTCTTAGAGGACTGGGTGTGTCTTAGCTCTTAGAGGGCCATGCATTGTCCTTCTTCTTGGTATTGGGTTCTAGATTAACTGTATGAAAGTTCATTTTACAATGATGAATAGGTAAAAATTTCCACCATACAAATATGCACTTTTCCAAAAATTTCATGCTATCACTGCATACAAAATTTATTAATCATTAGAGTTTCCTTCAAAGTGTTCTTTATCAGTACTCCTTTTTTCCCCCTCACAATAATTTCAGTTACTTTACTCTGTCTCTTCTTAATTATTTGCTAATATAAATGGATGGACACAAGATAAAAACTGAAGACTGTTTATTTGTTATCATCATATTACCAATCAGAGTGATTTCAGATGAGTGACTTGAAGGGAAAAGGAACCTATTAAGCATTAAATTATTTTACGAAGACTGTGTCAGACATAGAAGACATTCACTCAGATATATAGTGAATATTATTTTACTTACTATAGTTGGAAAACCAGGATTGTGCTGGGCCAGCATATCTGTTCATCCCACTTAGGGTCGAAGTGGAGAGGGACTTAGTAGTGAGCTGTATATAGAGAAGTCAATGGGCATGGAGATAAGAGACTGAAATAATATCATGTAATAAAGATCTCAGAGCAGAGATGCAGAATCTGAAGGTATCAAAATACTTTCATGAGACTGTTAAACATATACTTAAATGTAAAATATACTGGTTTTAAATGATATATATATATATATATATATAAATGTATGAATAAATGAAGTATACTCTTTATGAAAATATTTTCCTGATGTATGTGTATTTGTAGATATATTTTTCTATTTTAACAAAGAGAGACTAAACATTTTAAATAATGTTTTGAAGAAAATATGATGTTATAATTTTTCAGAAATAGTACAAAGATGGCAATACCACTTATCCACCATTAACTAATGTAAATTTTTTCAAGATTAGCAAATGGAAGTAGATTTACCTTCAACTAATTAACACTGGATTACTTTGTCTACTTATTGGACGTTCTGGTACTGCTTTAATGTGTCCTAAGTCCTTATAAATGTAGTGAATATAATTAGAATTAAATTCCAGTAATTTTAAAGATTTGGTGTTTTCTACATGAACTGCTGTTTCTCTGTTTCTGTTGGCATCATATAAGGTAAAACAATAAAGCAGGTTCAGGTCGGGGAGTCAATAAGGCAAAAAGGAAGAATATAAAATTGGGGTGAAATTCTCTACAAAAATGAAATAAAAAAAATCAGGCCCTTAACAGCATTTGAGATTTGTCTCCTGTGCTTCTGAGTTTTGAATTTAAGCATCGTAAATATTACTGGGGAAAGGAGTATTTTCTTAGCATAAAACCCAGCCAGAGAGACGCTTTGGTAAATGTGTGAACCTCCTACAGTGCCTTGGTCTAAGGCCAAGTGACCTATCTGCATTGGTGGGTTCAGGTTCTCACCATACACAAATAGAGATGACCTGTGCCGGGTGTCACCAAAGGTCTATGTCCAGGTAACCTGAGGAATCCTTGTGTAAAGGCAGTGACAGCTAAAATAATCTGCAGGGACTTAGTGCTGTCTGTTCAGCAACAAGAAGCTTTGAAATGGAACCTGTTTGCTGGCTGCTTGCACTGGAAAGCAGCGGATTTCATTCCAGACACCTTATTCCGCCTTGCTGGACTGGGTTACCCTGTCTTAAGTTAGAGGTTGTTGTCAGGAGAAGTTCCTTGGCCTCAAGGATAGAAGTCACTTTTCAAGACTGAAAGTCTTTTTTTTTGAGACAGGGTTTCTCTGTGTTTCTTTGGAGCCTTTCCTGGAACTCACTCTGTAGCCCAGGCTGGCCTCGAACTCACAGACATCCGCCAGCCTGTCTCTGCCTCCCAAGTGCTGGGATTAAAGGTGTGTGCCACCACCACACCATTTCAGTCTTTTAAAGTTTCTATATACCAGTACATGAAGATAGCAGCAACTCAACCAAACAGTCCAGGTAAACAGGAAAATCAAATCTTGTCAAGACCACTGAATCCCATTGGCATCATCACCACCATAATGTGTTTTCTCATTTTACTTTCTGTGATTTACCCCTGGCTAGGACAACATGCTCTATGAACATGGGCAGAATTTCCTCTTCTTTTCCCGGTGTGCAGTGACTTCAACAACATGTGCTGATACATCTCCTTTTTCTAGGGATGAAATCACTGAGTCCTATTACAATCCACTTTGTTTCTGTACTTGATCTTAAATCTTTCTTTAGCTCTGTTAGAACATGTTTTCCCAAGAACTGCTCAAGAAAAATCATTACCAGCATTCCAACATTCCTTCTCTCCTGGGAGTAGTTTCCCGGCATTCAACGCGACTGGATGGGAAGCGAATTCCTGATGACTGATTCTCTTTGCCCATTTCCGGCAATTTTGTTGTTGTTATTGTTGACAAATATTTTGAGAGTTATTTTAAGCATTGTGGTCGCCTTGTTTCCGCCTAGGTTCTGACTCATATTGAGCAGTTTTCTCTTTGGGAGTTGCGCTGCTATTTATCTGGAAGCTGCCACTTCTCCGGTATTTAGATAACCAAACAAGCGTGATAGCAGGCAGAGAGAACATTACAAATCAAACAAGACATAAGCACTGTGACTTACTAATCCTAATAAAAGGTTTCAGTTCTGATTTCATCAGCTGTATAAGATGCCACGTCATTTAAACACGGATACAGAAGAATCGTGATTTGATAAGAACCACAAATTTTAGTTAAGCAGTTCCCCTTTGGGTAGAATTGATTCACCTTTAACAGTAAGGAAGCTCTACGCGAATTTTGATTCATAATTGGAGAGTGACAAAATTCCATTTGTTCCATCGTGTGACCGTTTATTAACCCAGATTAGAACTTAGAGAGCTCTCCTATATAGCGCTGCGATAGAGCCAGAGGAAGGAAGAGTTAAGAGCACAGAGAAAAGAGTAACACAATCCCGGAGTAGGATGAGTCCTTGAAACAAATTAAGGATGCAAGAATTCAAGTTGAAAACTGCTATCCACTCTTATGAGGACTTAAACTCTAACATCAAGTGTGGTGGAAGTCCATAGGAAATAAATAACTTGTGAGAAAACAAGCAATTCTTCTGGACATGTAGCAAGGCAACCTAGTTCAAATTTGGTAAGCTCCATCACATTACTTTTGCTTGGGGCATTTTAAATGTGTTAAATATGTATGTTTCATATGTTCAATTGCCACTGTCTGGAAAAAAATCAAGGTGAGTCATTCACAGGGCTACTCAAAATTTATTTCTAAGTATGTATTGTTACAAGCACTAATTTTTCTTTTCACAAATAAACTTTTCGCAATTTGTAAAACTTGTAAAGTTCTTTTGTAGAGTATGAAATGCCATTTGTCTTGTTCCACATGAAACATATCATAAACAGAGGCTTGGGGGCTGGGTAAACATCAGTCAATTTTAATTTTCAGTTTGAAATTATTTTATTTTTTCTGTTTGATTACCTTATTGAAAGGTACAAAATCCTCTCTTTATTCTTTGTGATAATATAAATTATCTTTTTAATTTATTTTCAAACAAGAACCCACTGCATCCATAAAATTAACTTTCCCTATACCAAAAGGTTTTATCTTCACTTTCTAAGTATCACTATTTCAGAATAACTTTGGGTAATTAGTTTTGTTTTGAAGCAGAAGAGAATTGTATTAAAAGGAAAAAAATGTATCCAGTGGGTTAAAATAAGAATTTTGTTTTATGAACTCAAAATATCTCTGTAATTTGAAACATAACACCCCTAAAACACAAATAACCCAACTCTGGCAGATGTCTCAAACCTTGTAACAAGAAGTTCCTTTGCTTAGTCTTGAAAATTACAACATCCAAGCTCCTATTTTCTCAACTACACCTCATATAATTAATTCTGCTCCTAAATTAAGCACTTTTAAAATAAAACTCAGAAGTCTACCTTGGCTTTTCATCATCAAATAACTGACTTTTATATCAGTGAATGAAACAGATACAATGCTTTTACTATTATGAAAGATGATGAAGAGAAACCCCAAACACAACAAACAGAACTGAAAAAAAAAAAAAAAAACTTGCTTAGCTATATCTATCTTTGAGAGAAAACACAAATTTTCCAAAATGCTAAAAGCCTTCATACCTGTTCTCGACTAGCAAGGAACAAGGCATTATACAAATTTGCACACATACTGCTTGTCTCTTAAAATAGCTCTAGACGTATGTGAAGCCTCCAAACTAAAGCTTCCTCCCACCCCCACATCCCAATCCAGGACATTACAACCGTAAATGCCTTGAGATATTGGCTGAATCACTCCGGTTCTAAAGCTGTCCATCTGGCTTTGAGAAGGGCTGTGATCTGAAGACTCAAGTTGACTTAGTGGCTGCGCTTGCTGCCAGCTTAGATGCACTTTGTAGGTGGAAAATTGTTGGTCTTTGTCCCTTCCAGCTTGCAAGTAAAATGAAGCTGCCAAGAGATAAACACATTCTAAGTTTATCATGCTATTCTTGGCCTCAAACTACAAGCCATAAGGCAACTATTGCTCAAGGTACCGTGTTTACAAGTGTTCAGTCCTCCGCTCTTTCAGAGACCCAACAAGATGGGGTTTCTTCCTGCCAGCCTGTATTTTCTTTTTCCAGAGCTTTCAAATTCCTCAAATGCTTTTTAAATAAAGGGAGAGAAGGAGCACCTCTGAAAGCATCTTGAACTTTGAAGTATCATTAAAATTTTGATTATATTTTGAGGTTCTATAGCAAAGGCACAATAAACTGTCTGTTAGACTACATACTTCCTTCAATCAGTATTACTATTATGTATTTATTATTGCTTGACTTCATATTGGGCAAAGGTATATAGTAATGTTCCTTTATGTAGGTCTTTTAAATTATTTTCTGCTCACTTACTTTGCCACAGCTTGCTCTTCCTTGCTTACAATATTTCATTTAATAACTTCATCATTATAAAACTTTGATGTCTCTTTTACTTAGTGAGATTTGACTCCTTAAGTATAAATATATTAATATATATGAATACATATATATACTTATATATATTATAGTAACCTAATCAGAGCTCAGAAATGGTCTCAAAACCTCAGGAAAACAGTTAACTTAGAGAGGGAGTACTGAGCTAAATTTCTTCACAAATATCTTCCTGGCTGCCTTGGGTAACAGGATGTATTGAGTTCATACATCTTAAATATAAAAGAGGAGTAAAGCTATAGCACATCCTATATTGGCACAGTGCACTGACATGTATTATGTATGATGTTACACTGTTTAAATTATTAGAAATCACATTAAAAGAAATTATAATAAGATAGGGCTTTTTACCAAATCTAGGATATTTGGCAAAGACATAATAATCAAATTCAACTCTTGATTTACAAATAAGACTTTGAGTTCTCAGAGTTTTATAACTATATTCTATATCATGATTTCTTTGCATTTCATTAACAGTAACAATCTCTTTAGAGTTAAGTATAGTACATGTAAAATTACTTACAAAATAGAGGTTTTATTGTTTCCTTGGACATAAGAAATTAACTCATTCTGGAAGAAGTTCAAACTTCTCTTAGTAATATACTTCTTCAATGATTTAATTCAGCTACAAATTAAATTTACCAATTACATGTCAAATAAAAAGAATATAGTAGAAAACACCCTTGTTCTAGTTTTGACTCTAAGTGTATGGAAGAAAGACTTGTTTATAGCTAGTGGTTTTAGGAGAAGAATAACTTAAAGTAACTCAAAAATAGATATCATTATTTCCATGCTCAATGAGCCAAGAAAGCCTTGGGGACTGTCATTCCTAATGGTTACAATGGTCTCAGTGGCCTTCTGATGAACAGATGAGACAATGAAGGGGAATAGATGAACATTCAGTTGAATCTAATATGTCTGTGATTATTAGGTTTATTGCCCCTATTCCTTTGTTCCATCAAAAAAATTTTAAAAATTGAATGTCTTATAAATTGCCGAAATTTGTTCCTTTGGAGACTGCAAAAATCTAAGATCAAAGTACCTAGAGAATCAGTTTCTGGTGGGTCTCCATCTTCCTGCTGCATCTTAACATGCTGAGGAGATGAAAGAATGTCTAGGTCCTCTTTGATAAGGGAACTATCTCATCGCGAGCTTCTGTCCTCTTGATCACATCCTAAAACTACATCATCTACAATCGTCACTTTGGCATTCACTTCAGGGTAGAGATTCTCAGGGATGTAAGCGCCCAGTCCATTGTACTTCACTAGCAAAAAAAAAAAAAAAAAAAGAAGAAGAAGACAATCACAGACAATCACATCCACATCCAGGCATGTAAAATATTTTACTCTCCCTTTACATGAATCAAAGGTAATGATTTAATCCTTGTATATTCAGAGGACAATGTAATCAGAATTTATTATTTTTCATCATAGATCTTCTACTCCTAATTCACTACTATAATCTACTCTAATTTTATGTTTAAGAATTCTAATCTAACCCGAGTGGTCTTACAAAATTGACTACAATGTTTTGAAACCTGTATGTAATTGTTAAAATATGCACATTACTAGTTTCAGAGTCTAAAGAATGGCTTAGAGTCTTGAGGAATAAGGAAGTGTTAGGCTAGGGTCTTGCAACACTGACATTCAACTTTCTTTGGTTAGCTGAACATGGACTCTCACATATTGGGTAAGAGTCCTCCAGGGTATCATTATTTTATCAGTATACAACAAAGTAGGATAGTACATGAGAATGTAATGTGCTAATAGTCAGAGTGCAGAAATCCCTGAATAGTACTTTATAATCTTTCTGTTTGTTTACACATGTACTGAATTACTAATTTGTTTTAAAGTCTGATTCTTGATTCAAATTAAATTTAATAATATCTAAGTGTCAGAGGCAGGAAGTATTTCAGCATTCACTATTTAAAAACTTAAATGTCTAAGAAAGAAACAGAAGCTCATAAATAATGAAATAAGGGGAAGAAAAACAGCATATTTTTGAAAATTTAAGAATAATGTTTAGGGACTGGGGAGATTGCTCTGTGGTTAAGAGTGCTTGTTGTTGTAAGCATGAGGACCAAGTTCAAATCCCTAGTGCTTATGTAAAAAGTACAACCAAAGAAGGAGACTGGCCATCCGTACATATAACCCCAGTGTTGAGCAGTGGAGACAGGCAGATTCCAGGAGCATACTAGTCAACCAGTCTACCCCAAACTGGAAGCTTCCTATCAGTTCAATAGACCCCGTCTCAGGGAAATTAGGTCAAGAAAGATAGAGCAGAACACCATATGTGCTTCTCTAGTCTCAAAGGTGTACACTTGTGCATAAACACTACACCACATCTCTCTCTCTCTCTCTCTCTCTCTCTCTCTCTCTCTCTCTCTCACACACACACACACACACACACACACACACATACACACACACACCACATCACGCATGTGGGGAGTAAAAGAAGAGAAAGGGAGAGGGTAGGAGAGGTAGAGGGAGAAAGGGTGTGGGGAGGAGAGATTAGAAAACATTTCAGATGAACTGGTGATAGTTTACCATGGCTGACTGACATAGGATTTAATCTCATCCTATATTTTTGTGATCAAGGCATTGAAATGGAGAATGGTTACATGGTGACCAAGAGTCTTATCTAGAGGAGGCATGTATCAACTTCTTTCATATTTCTTTAGCTCAAAGCAAGGCATATAGTATCACCTAACAAAGAACATTGAAGAAATAAATTGTGATACCTTGTATCTTGAGGAAGAATTTGAAAATCCCTGGACCTCATGATTCAACACATATGAAATATGTAATAATGATTGAGAATAGTCACTTTTTAGATAAATTCATCCAAAATAGAAGACGTATGACCAAGTTTTATTTTCATCCCCAATATTGTCTTGGTACTTGAGTACCATTTAGGAACTTGAGTATCAATACTTCCACTTAGGGCTTATTTTAATCTTAATAATTATGACTTGATAATTACACTTGGAGGATTTTATAGTGTTTCTCCTTTCTAGCTCAGAATGCTGACAGGAGAGCATTTGGCTTTGTCTGTAAACTCTAATAAATAAACTTGAGCAGAATAAGCTGTCTGGACCACAAGTCTTATTTGTGCAAAAGGACAATTTGAGAGGATAAAATATTGAGAAAAATAAAAATAGTTTTCTCTATTAAATTTCTAGAGATAAAACAATCACTTTTGGTAAGAAGTACACATTTTTAGTGTTCTGAAATCAAATTAATATAGAAAACATGTCCATGTATTTGGAATACACACTATACAAGAAAATTATATTCTGTAGTTGAAATCATTGTGCTTAAGGAAACCTAAGTCTCACTAGTAATTTTATTTTCAAGAATCAATACATTTTATAGATAAATTTAAAAAATTAAATCAACTGTATAAAATATCACATTTAAGAATTTAATGACATCACATTGAATACTAAATATTTTGGTGGCAATAGTGACATGGCAATTGTTCTGAACTTTACAGTTTACTTTTCTTTTAAACACCATAGATACCAGATAGACAAGAAATGGCCCAAATAATCCTTCAGAGAGTAATGCAGGCTTATATGAATAGTCATTTTTACATACTTTGGCATATATTCTAATTTTTTTACACATTACTTTAGTGTAATGGTATGCGAGAAAAACCTGAGACATTGTTCATAAGAGTATGTTCAAATAAAATAAATAAGAGAGTGTCAGAGACATTGAGGAATAAAATAAATCAGGAGGTTGAGAGTAGAAGGACAGGAGAATGATGGGAAATGGAAGTAGACAAAAGAGATTCCTTGGTTTTTATTGGAACTCTCATTTTTACCTCTAATTTTCTCTAAGTGATCTGGATGGGAGGTTCATTTCACTCACCAGCAAAAGGAGTATCTTCAACAGTGTAAGGCTATTAATTTTAGCCAACAGAAGTTGCTGTAAGAACAATATTTGAAACACAATTATTCTGGGCATGTTCAGTTCACATTTACAAGGGTACAGAAGTACTCTGTGCATGAGTTTCTGGCCAGCTAGCTCTGTCTTTACAGAATGTGACTTTTAAATTTTATCTAAGAAGATTGTTGAGCTATTTCTGAAATTACATAGAATTTATGTTTACATTACTGAGAAAACAACAGATGCTTTGTTATTATACTTATAATTTATCTTTGACGTGTTGGGAAGTTAAAAGATCCTAGAAAAGACCCCACAGTGAAAATTTTCATTGTGAAGTCACACAATTTAGAGTATAAGTTTTCAAATTATTACCACAGGCTATCCTTTTTAAAAAACATTATATACCCTATGACATTTAGGGAGTTAATAGAATTCTCTCTTTTAAAAACCCATATCATATGGAACATGTGTACTATTGTGAATAAATAAAACCTTTCCAAATAGAATGTAGTGTATGGATGCAATATATTGATTTTTTTCTATGTGTGGGGACGT